GAACCCCAACCATAGACCCCTGGAATCCAGAATATGGCACACTAACACTAGACCATGCTTCGCCCATTTTTTCACAGATAAAGAAAACCGGGAGCATGTGCACTAATGACCATAAACTCATCTGATTAATAACAGAACTTGTGGTTATATTATCAAACTACAGCTCACTAGCCTGTAGCTCATCTGATTAATAACAGAACTTCTGGTTATATTATCAAACTACAGCTCACTAACAGAACTTGTGGTAATATTATCAAACAACAGCTCACTAGCCTGTAGCTCATCTGATTAATAACAGAATTTGTGGATATATTATCAAACTACAGCTCACTAGCCTGTAGCTTATCTGATTAATAACAGAACTTATGGTTATATTATCAAACTACAGCTCACTAGCCTGTAGCTCATCTGATTAATAACAGAATTTGTGGTTATATTATCAAACAACAGCTCACTAACCTGTAGTATGATGTGCTACAGCCTTTGCCAACATGGTCTTTCCACAACCAGGGGGACCATACATAAGAACCCCACGAGGAGGGTCGATCCCAATTTGTTTGTAGAGTTCAAAGTGGGTAAGAGGGAGCTCCACAGCTTCTCTGATCTCTTGTTTCTGTATATCCAAACCTCCGATATCTGAGTAGCACACGTCGGGTTTCTCATCTGTAAAATTAACACAAAGAAAATAGTGAAAATGCTATCCAATTAAATTGAAAGCAATTTAAATAGACATTGTTACTTTCTATATTAAATTATACATATAAATATTTTAATGAAACATACAGGTCAAAAGTACGAATTTCAATAAATACTAGATGCAAAATGAATCCATTTGAAAACATTACCAAAAGTTCATTTCATAAGAATCAAAGTTCAGCCTTGCAATGCTAATACATTTTTTTAAATACACTGAGTTTAAAGTGTAAACTTCAATACAAAATTATTTATTTAAATGAAGAGTTAAATGCTAAAATTTTAGCTTTAGCCAAGCTGTATACACACATAACTTAAAGAGGAAGTAGTGTGTTGTGTAGTAAAATTAGTACAAGGTTGTTTTTTTTTGGTATAGACTGTAAATGTTTTGTCTACATTCTACACAAAACATTTAAATATTAAACATGATAAAATGTTGCTCGTTAATACCTTGCTCAATATCATTTTGTTTCCTTAAATATTCAGTTATTTTATATGTCAAAATTCATCATTCAGGAAGGAAGAGTTTGAAGAGAAACAAGTTTTACTAAAATTCTAACCTGTAAAACTATATTTTTGTTACCTGGACGCAGCATGGCAATGCTGCTATCTGCTTCTGGTGGTAACACATCAACCAAAGCATTGCTGTGTTTGTGAAGAGCTACACTGGAACTTGGCTTAAGAAGTTCTCTGTCAATTGTGGACAGAATTCGGACGTAGTAGTTGGATCCTGTAAGCAAAATTGATGTTGTGTAAAGCTGATAAAATAACACTAGCTAAAACAAGGTTATAATTTTTCACACAATTAATTAACAGTGAACATTAACTACACAGCTATCAAAAGTTTTTAATATTTCCAGTATAAACATACAAGACTTTTCATACAAAGCAAGAAATATAGAAGCTGATATTGTAACAAAAAAACAAAACAAAAAACACACACTTTGAAACGACATTTACGGACATGAAACAGTACAAACTGTTCCATATAAACCCACACAGCTTGTTCACTGCAGCATGGGTGTTTATATATTTATAGATAAGAAACAGTACAAACTGTTCCATATAAAACCACACAGCTTGTTCACTGCAGCATGGGTGTTTATATATTTACAAATAAGAAACAGTACAAACTGTTCCATATCAAACCACACAGCTTGTTCACTGCAGCATGGGTGTTTATATATTTACAAATAAGAAACAGTACAAACTGTTCCATATCAAACCACACAGCTTGTTCACTGCAGGATGGGTGTTTATATATTTACAGACACGAAACAGT